TAATAACATATATATATTTACAATATATATATATATGCATGTATATGCATATGGATGTATTGCATGTATATATATATATATATATATATATATATATATATATACATGCAATACATCCTACTAAAACTATGTCTCAGATATTGAGAACAGTTACCCCATAAATATGATAAATTGTGCTTATGTGTCGGTGTTCGTGTGTGTGGACGAGTCTTATAATTTATTCATCAACTGAGGCTGTTTGTATGCTGAAAGAAAATATTTTCTTGTGAATTTAAATTCATTTTACTTTTAAGCTAGCAGTAAGAAAGAACAACGCGAAAAGTTAATGATAAATATTTTACATTTCAATTATGAATACAAAAGGAAAGTAAAACAATACGTTTGAAACTTTTCCCTTGATTTGTTTGATGAATTCCACATAGATATTCCGCGAAAACTTTTCAGACTAATTTCAACCAGAAAGAATAGTGAAAACACCTTTAATTTTCCTCCAAGGATTTCAATTACGAGATAAAAATCTTTCATATTGCATCTTAATTTTATTTGATTTTTCTCTAAGTTGTCCACCTGCAGTGAGCTAAAAAAAAAATGTCGAAAGGGCGAAAGTTATTTAAAAATCAACAATTTGTAACAAAACATCAGTAATTAGGGAAGAGAATATAATGATAGCTCTCCAAAACTTCCAGTCACTTATTTATATCATTTATGTCCGAACTAATATCTTCATCTTTGTTTTTATTATCATAACGTTTTGACCTTTCAACTTTCCAACCTTCTCCAGGTGTCTGTTGATCCGGCTAACCTTCTGGGATTTTCGAATTAAACCTTTTTGTTCTAGAGGAGTAGATTATATTCGTTCCTATGACCATGTTTAGGGGATATCTTACAGGGTAATAGCCGAGCAGATTAGAACTGATTCGTGAATTTGATGATATAGTAATTGTAATCTCAATGCCTGAGAAGAGTACTAGTACAGGCTTAGGCTCAGTGGAAGTACGGCAAGATGTAACTGAGCAGCAGTAAAAAAAAAAGATGAGATATCCCTAGACATGAACTGTGGAACGAGAATTATCTGATTAGATAAAATAGATCATCTACTTAGGTTAAATAAATCATCTACTTAGACTAAATAAATCACCTACTAAATAAATCACTTACGTAGATTAAATAAAACATCTACTGAGATTAAATAAATCATCTATGTAGATTAAGTAAGTCATCTACTTAAATGAAATAAAACATCTATGTAGATTTAATAAATCACCTACGTAGATTAAATAAATCATCAACTTAGAGTAAATAAATCATCTACATAGATTAAATAAATCATCTATGTAAATTAAATAAACGACTTATGTAGATCAAATAAAACATATACTGAGATTAAATAAATCACATACGCAGATTAAATAAAACATCTACTTAAATGAAATAAATCACCTTCTTAGATTAAATAAATCATCTATGTATATTAAATAAATGGTTTATTTCGAAGTACCCTGAAGTTTACCTGAATCGAAAGATACCTGGAGATATTCGGAGGTTTGACTTATTTTTTTGCAGTTCATCACCCTTTTCCAGGTTATTTAACGCTATAAAATATAATTAGATTGTAAGAGATTTTTTTAGATAATAATTATTTACTGATACAAGTCCTACTAATTAACTCATAGTTAGTTGGAGAGTAAGTGGAATCGTACTTTTCCCAAGGTTATTTGCGCCCAAGTGAATATAACGACCCTGGCTGGAATTGGAACTCAGCAATACCCAACTTCCCGATCTCAAATTCGGAGTCATTATCCATTACACCACCCGCACATCCAAGCTTTCAGCACTTGGTATTTCCAAGCGTTGTTTAACTTCAGAGATCGTAAAAGAACCGATATTTGAATATGATAAGAATGTAAGCCTAAAGTCAAAAGGAGCTACAGCAGAATTGCTGTGATAACAACAAAAATGAAGATATTAGTCCGATTGTAAATCTTGTAAACAATTCTAATTCCTCGTCATAAAAGATAAGACAGTAATTCCTGTCCTCTTTAGCTTGGATAAACTCTTGCTACTTACCTCTTCAAGTCTAAAGTTAACTGTAAGCCTTAAGAACTTTACATTTAATCCTTTCTCACGCTAATACAATACCCTCTACCTTGAAAGGCTATTGAGCCTTGTATTGGGTGAATATTGGTCGAAAAATTATTATTCCTTACATTTCTCTTCTTTTTTGTCCTTGTCTTCCATCTTATTTACACACATCTCAAGTAGGCTATTGTGTTACATTCTGTTTCTCTTGTCTTTTCATTGTGTTCTTTGGGTGTTAAATTCTCTATGCCGTCTTTCCCAAATATATCTCAAATATATTTCTTATGTTCCTTTGTATTTGTTAATAATTGTTTCCTTTTTGAGTTTCTATTCTCACCATTCGTCGACTCAAGGCTGATTTTTGATCTGTGAGGAGATTGTCCAATATTCACTGTCATAGAGGGGGTTAGATATTACATAG